CCAGGCTGCCCCTCCCCACCCCGTGACCCCCTCAAGGAGCAAAATCCCCGGGCAGAGGTGACTATCAGCCAGAGGGATATGCTTCTATCCCCGTTTTATGATGGAGAAAAATTGAAGGCAGGAGAAGACCTTGCCCAAGGTCTCCGTGAGGAAGCGGCAGAGCTGGGCCTTAAACTGAGAGTCTGTTGACTCCAGGGCTTCTGCTCTTACCTGCCACACTGTGACACACAAAAGCATCGTTTTCTGGAAACTTTCATGCATTCGGTCCTCGATGGCACAGAGAGCCTCTTCTGTGACAGTGAGCAGAAAAACAGTGGCTCAAAACACGCAACATCAGCAAGGCCACGAACCTCAGGAGAGTGGCCAGGCTCATGGCCCCATCTGCCACACAGGGCACCATGCCACACAGTCCACAGGCAAGTCCCAGCAGCTTTGACCCCTTTGGAGAGAGGGCCATGGATTTGGTGGTTCTCCTCGACTCACGGCTACCTGTGAACTGTCTCCTCAAGCGTGTCCACTGGGCTCTGTCTCCCTCTTGCCCTTCCTGTTGTCTTCTGCCTTCCCTGCTCCTCACGGGCAGGCTCTGCTGCGGGATGTGGGCCACCCAGCACTGGGCACCTGTGTCCCCTCAGGGTGGCAGTATGAATTAACAAGGAGTGAAAGCGTGTCGAGGCACCTAGCAGGTTCAGATGCCCGCCTGGGTGCCCTTCTCCTGATCGTCCCTTCCTTCTCTCCTCCTTTGGTTTGCCTTCCCTTCCCTGGGCAGTGGGCCACGATAGTGATTCTGACCCCTTGGACCCTCCAGTCTCTTCTCCAGGACTTAAGTCATGACCAGCCATGACCTTCCTTGGGGAGCTATGAATCGTGCTTGGGTGCGAAGGGCAGTGTAGCTGCTGAGGTGCATAAACAGGAAAACACTTTACTTCAACTATTTTCTAAAATGATTCTGAATTTCAAGTTGGAAGGTCGGCCCCAGACTCTGTCTTCCTCAAGCTCCGCTGGAAAGGACAGTGAGGTAACTCAGTCCTTAGGAGCTGCTCCCAAAGTAGCGGTTCTGATTCCTGGAAGGGGCCATCTGTACTGGCACCGCTGTCCCTGGAAGGAGGAGGGACAAGTTCTCAGCCTCATCCTGGTGGGAGCACGCTGTGTCCTTGCCCCCGCTGGCTGTGGATGGCCCCAGGGCAGGGGCCTTGCTAAGTCAACCATGAGAACAGAAGATAGAAAGAAGGGTGAAGTGGACCATGGCGGGGGGGGGGGGCAACCGGAAGGGGAGCTGGGTGGCAGGGCCCGGGAGGAGGGTGGTGGTGGTTCTTCTGTGGGCCTCCTCCAGGCTCCTTCAGAGATGGCCCTCTCTGCAGAACTGAGCTTGCAGGCCTTTCCAGCTGGTCTGGGGTCCCAGGAGTCTGGGGAGGCAGTGTGGGAGGCCAGGGTGCCAGAGTGACCTCGGGGAGCTCTGTCTAGGAGGAGCAGTCCTCCACCTGCTGCTCCACGGAGTCGAGTTCCTCATGGTTCCATGGCCGGGAGAATTCCATCCAAGGGAAGGGTTCAGAGGCCCTGGCCAGGCCACATCCAAAGTCTCTGAGCCTGGCCAGGAGGCGCTAGGGCCTCCAGCTGTGTCCTGTAGCTGTGTCCTGTCTGCCCTGGGAACCTCGTCAGCCCCAGGGAAGGCCCCAGGCTCACTGCTGAACTTATAAGGTAGAAAGTCAAGGGCAGCTGTGCTAGTCCACAGAGCCTAAAGCTGTTCTTTTCATTTAAAACGCTTCAGAAAAGGTAATAAGGACCAAATGGGAAGGCATCACTTCTAAGGGGCCATGTTGGTTGCAGACTGCAGTCAGGCCAAGCCCCGAGAATGGATCCCGAAAATGGATCCTGAGAATGGATCCCGAGAACGAACCCCAAGAATGGATCTGAGAATGGATCTTGAGCATAGACCCCAAGAATGGATCCTGGGAGGAGAGAAGAAAACCCCCATGCCTCGTCCAAGACATCAGGCTTGAAGGTGTTTTCCTGCAGGGAGACCCAGCCATGGTGGTTCTGCTCTTGCTGGTAACCCAGGGGACTGGCTACAGCTGAGAAGATTGTCCAGGAACTGATCCACGTTCCAATTCCAGATGGAATTGGGGACCCTGGAGCCCTGCATCTTCCTTCCAGAGGTTCTGCTTTGGTCCAGTGCAGAAGCTGCCAGCCTTCCCAACAGCACCTCCACCCAGGCGGGGGCAAGCAGGAGAAACACACTCGCTCTCCTTCCTAGGACCTGCAGTTCTCCAACACTCCGGGAGATGGTGAGGCCCCACACACTGCTACCCCTGCCTCACTGTGTCCCTCCGGAGCGTGCCCCTCTCCTGCCACTCAGATCTTCCCAGGTTTCCCCTGCGCCCTGCCTTCCTTCCAGGGAGAGGCAGGTGGGACAAGAAGCACAAGTCCTGTGTATCTGGAGCGCTGCTTGGTTCTTGCTCCTTTCTGTGCGTCCCGTGAGGCAGTCTCGGGGCTCCGAGCACCCCCTTCTCCCACCCTCGCTGCTCCTCAGGCCTTCCTGGGGCCCAGGGGGCTGCAGCCAGGTGGTCAGCGAGAGTGACTTCCTTGCCATCCTCCTGGTGAGGCCCCTCCTGCCACCCAGGCAAAGTCGAGACACCTCTGAAACCGCAGAGAAGGCACAGAAATCCTGCCTGCAGACAGACTGAACTGAGAACCCAATTCTGCCACTTCTGTGACTGTGACACTATCAGGCTTCCTTTGACATTGTCATTGTAGAATGAAACTCATTACTATGTGTGCATGTAAACTACGTGTGTGTGTGTGTGTGTGTGTATGATGAGGGATGCCGGACAGCACTCTCACACAGACGAAGCACGGACACCACCACAGCCACACAGCACCGCCTCCAGGGCCCCTCCTCACCCCTCAGGCCACTGTGCATCCCTAATTGTGTTTGCAGTGTCCGGCAGATTCCTGACAGAAGAATTAACCTTTTCATGGGGCGAGATGAAAATGGAATTTTCTCCTTTCAGGTCCACTCACCAGATGGGCCACACACACTGCAGGTTCTGTTTCTGTTTCCCTAGTGACCTGGCTTCAGGGACAGATGCCTCAGGCACGATTACCTTGAACTCCATGTAGCGATGCCACATGAATCGGCCCGGAGCAGGGGGAGGAGAATTCCTGGAAGCCATGTCTACATAGAAGAGCTAGCAATAACTCAGCCTATGCCGAAAAGTCTGGAAATTGCATCAGTGTTCTACCAGATCTAAATTAAATGTCTCCCCAACTCAATTTTCCCTAAGCCTGATCCCCCAAAAGTTCAAAGTCACTTCAACACCACAAGAAACTAATGAAGTGTGTGGAGGCAAAGTTGGGTATAAAGAGACAGAGGTCTTAATCTGTTTATCTTCCATTTGCAAATTTTACAAAACACATCCATGGGAACTGACCTCACCATGGTGCCTCCAGGTCTGCAGATGGGACCACACCAGGGAAAGGCCTCAGTACTCATGGCGAGTCCACTTCTGTGCTAAGGATTTGGCAATGACTAGTAAAGTGCATGAGGGATATTGAGATCCAACTGCAAGGAAAAGCCTAAGCAGAGGCAGGGAGGCCAGAGAGCTCAGGACTGCCTGGCCATCATGGCGGAAGCACAAGAAGCACCTCGGAGAGGCAAGTCAGAGAGGGTGGCCAGTGTCGGGCTCCAACATCCTGGTATCAAGCTTTGAAGATTTTCACACTCGGGATCTAAGGCGAGGACGGCCCCTCTCGGAGCCCTGCTGTGGAAAAATACATTTGGGATGAATGGACAGGCAGGAAGCCCAGCTCAGTGGCATGGGCAGCTCTGTGCTGCCTGTGAGAGTACCTCAGGGCATAACAGCAGGTTGCTTGACAAAACATACACAGGCTCCCTTCTAGCTGAGAACCTTGAGGCAGAGCCCAGCTCCTCTTCCTGCCCTCACCTATTCACCCTGGGACTGGACGTAAGTCCACCTCTGGGAAACCTGCTGCTCCGACCTGTTCTCACTCCACTCAGCTGTTCCCAGGGTCACACCTCTGTGCTCCACACCCCCTCATCCTGCTGACCCTGGGTAACATGGCTCCATGCCAGTCTCCCACCCAGCCAGTGCAGTTCCTGATGTCCCTTGTATAATAAGCATCATTCCCCTGAAGGTCTAAATTCTCCTTTGAGTCATTTGCATAGAATATCAGCCTAGCAACACTCACCTCAACTGTGCCTTCCTGATCCCCCAGGCATTCCTGGGCACTCACCTTCAAAAGGGCCTCTTCTGGGTGCCCTGGGCTCTTTCACAGGAGAGCAACCTCGCCTGCCCACCAGCTGGTGAGTCATGCCCCTGGTGGATGAGCCCAGCCCTGCTGACATTGCTCCTCATGCTGACCACAGGCTTCAGAAAACCTCTCCAGCGAGGGGCTGCTTGCTCATCTCCTGAAGCCCATGCTCCCACGCCCTGAGGAGGAGCTGAGCGCACCAGGGTGCAGCTTTGCTAAGATCAAAAGGAGCTGCTGAAGCTGCAGTCTGCAACTGCCCAGAACCCCGTGGAGCTCAGCTGTGAGCAGGGGCGACGGGGACCCTGCACCTCCGGGGCCTGCGCCCTCACCCTATGTCTGCCCCTGCACCACAGCATCCTGGGCCCACAGCAGTGCCCGCTCAGAGCAGGTGTGCCATAGCACCAGCGCCTCGCAGAGCTGCCTGCGTGGATGGGGCCAGGCCTGAGGTGATGTGAGTTTGAGTTCAAGCAGTGGGCGCCGGTCCAGGCTCCCCACAAGTCCCCCACAAGTTCCCCCACCTCCGCTGCCGCTGGGAGAGCTGAAAGCAAACTTGGAAATCATCAAATCCTTGGGGCTTCTATAGATAGAGAAAAAGTACTGTGTATTTCAAAACAAGTAGGAGAAGGGATTTTTAATGTTTCACTACAAAGAAATAACAAATGGTGGAAAGATGCAATGCCCTACCCCCAGTTTGAACGTGACACAATGGAGACTCGTATGAAAACATCGCAGGGGACTCACCAACAGGTTCAGATTTTATGTGTCAATTTAAAAATGTACACAATTTTTTTAAAAACATACATGACTTTCTGACAAATAGTTTCTAATATATTTTTGAAAATCGTCAAACCCAGTTCCCTAGGTTTCAGATGAAGAAAGGACGTGAGGCCAGAGAGGCAGGATCACGTGTCCAAATTTAGTTTAATACCAGAAGCAGCACCAGGCTCCCAGCTGGTGGCTCTTCCAACCACCATGAGATGTCCTCAGCTTTGGAGAACTTGAACGGGAAGTTTGGAGGCAGCAGAAGGTGACCCGAGCCCTGCTCGGCTTTGCTGGGGAGGAAGGAATGGGGATTGGGATGAGCTCTGGGGTGAGATGTCTCAGTGGGCTTGTCGGGGCCCGACCCTCCTCTTCATAGAACCCTTTGGCTGTCTGCAGCATCTGTCCAACAACCACGCACCCTGCGGCCAGTGTGGCCCTCAGACTCCACACGCTGCCAACTGAGCTAGGAGCTGGACTCAGGGCGCTCCTGCCCTGCTTCCCACCAGCGGCCCCTTTCTGATTTTCCTGCACACTCTGCTGATTCCCACAAGCAATGTTTTTAGTATGCAAACTAGAACAAGGAGGGAGAATCCTATCATTCCAAGAGCCACGTGGCCAGAGGCTTGACCAAACAAGGAAGACTTGGCCACCTTTGGGGACCCAAGCCTAAAGCCAGTCATTCCTAGCTAGAGGCACCCCGATCCTGTCTCAATCTGTCGGGTGCCTACTCTCCTCTACCCCAACTCGCGTTATGGGGCCTATATAGTTCTTCATTCCGTGCAAGGTCAACCTTGCCTGGGCATGGTTTAGGATACAGAGTCTCCTTAGACACCAGAGAACAAGAGGAAGAATCTGTGCACTGGAAACCAGAAAGTTCTAGAAATCACCAAAGGAGAAGCAGGAATGGGAACTGCCAAGGCACAGAAGGGTCCCTCTTTAGAGGAAGTGGCTGCGAAGAGTCTGGAAGAAGAGAGCAGCCTGCAAACCCGTCAGGCAGGGAACCGGAGAGGCCCAGCGTTGGCCCTGTCCTGGGGCAGCCCAGACACATCCTACGTTTCTCAGGAGGAAGAAGGTGAGACTGGCAGTTGTTTGTAATGCTCCTGTCTTGATGATTATGGCCCCTGCCAGGTTGCTCTAGCATACATCATGACCCACAGAGCCGGATCCATGCACTGTGCAGACTAGACCTGGTATTTCAACCCTCTCTGTCCACGGACCGTTCTGTGCTTCCCCTTTGTTCTCCTCTCCAATTTCCCATGTCAGAGACCAAGATCTGAAGAAGTGCACATGGCGATAGGGATGTGGCATTGGGGCCCTTCTAAGAGGCCACCTCTCCCCTGCAGCTCGGGTTTCCTCCTGGATGTCAATTATTGGCTTTTACATAAGAAGGCTAATGCGTTTTCAAAGCAGGCAGATGGCCCCTCCCCATGCTTTGACAGTTTGGCTTTAGTTGAAATATCATTAAACTTTTCGAAAACAAGGGCTTTGAAACTCAATCCCCACACTGTTTACATGTTTTTCCCCCCTCTTAGAGTTGGGCTCTTCCTGCTGCAGCAGTTAATTCGCCCTTCACCCTCTGCACTCAAAACAAACACTGGCTTGAAGCATTCAGCTTTTCTACCACTGCGTAGCTGAGAGTGGAAAAAATAACATCTGAAACAGGATGGGCTCTCGAGATGCCTCGGGTGACAGGCACTTTTCAAACCACTGCAGGTGAGTCACTGGCGGTCTGTGCAGAGGTCGGCAGAGGAGCAGGAAGTGTGGGTATTTTCAACATGAGGCTGGGGAGCTTCTCAGAGGCCTTAACCCAGCCTCCCCTGGTGACCAGGGCCTTCCTGAGGGTGGCCACAGAGCAGAGTGAGCCCGAAACAATGCCGGGGGCCTACTGCGGCCTCTGCACTCCCTCCCCTGGCTTGGCCTACCGTAGCAAAACCTACAGAATTTATAAAACCCACAGAACCTTTTTCTATTTAAGCCCCAACAACAGCAATAGTCAGAATCCAGGTGGGTTGGGGCATAAGTGTGCCCTAGGGTTGAGAGGCAGCCGAATCTCTGCACAAGTGTGCAAAGAGTCGGTGCCACAAGATGTCCCGGCAGCTCACTGGGGTCTGAGCCTTGTGGCTCTGTGGCCTAAAAGAAATAAATCAAGCAGGGCCCAGGTGGCACTTGCACTTCCAAGCTAAGCCCTTGGCTTCAGTGACAAGCCCTCTGACTCCCATCTCTTGTCTCCAAATGCCAGAAGAAATAGGGAAAAAGGAGATTCAGGAAACGGAACTGAAATGACGTTAGATAAAAGATTAAAACCAGAGGAAGCACTCGTGGGAAGCAAGCCAGATGTTGCCCGAAAGAAGTTGTAAATTCAACCTCGCTTGGTAAAGTGGGAGGCCCGAGAAGACACGAGGGCTCTCCATCACTTGCTTTGAAGGTGGAGGGGCCCAAGGGGGAGCAGTGAACTGCCCAGGGCCTGGGCCACATGGGCCTCCAGCTCTCTTCAGGTGGACGCAAGTCCTTCTGAGCCCTAATGGTCTGGCAGGTGATGGGAGAACACTGGTGTTCCTACGTTCTTGGGCGTCTCTGGGAGGAGGAAGTCGGCCTGGAGCCTCACTGCGCTGTGGGTCCAATACTGTGTGCAGACTCCCAAACTGGTCAGGAGCTACCAAAGCAAACAGCTGCTTCCCAGTACTTCTGCTGCTCCAGAGTCAGCTGCCTTCCAACCCTAGTAGAACCTGAAGAACCAATGGTGAAAGAAAACCCTAGAGTTTTTAATAAGCATCTCCAGAAAAAGGTCAGACTCTTGGTAGCATTGGATATGCTTGGTCTTTCTCGACCAGAGAAAGGTACACACCACAGAACGGCCTGGTGGAAGGACTGGAGGGGCCCGGAGCCCCACACAGGCAAGCTGAGCACCTGGGCCCAGCAGAGGCAGCACCCAGACACAGGGGCGGCGGCCCTGTGCACAGGTTCCTGCTGCTGCAGCAAATTGCCATCAACGTCACAGCTTGCACGTCACACTCACTGTCCTTCAGTGCTGCAGGATGACTTCTCCCTGGCTAATAGCATCCAGGGGCCGGCAGGGCTGTGCTCCTCCCTAGAGCTCTAGGGGAAGTTGTTCCGAGGCCCCGCCAGCTTTAGCAGACCTCTCGTGCCCCTTGGCTCCTGGGCTGGCCTCCTTCTTCTGCCAGCCAAATGGCCTCTCTGTGCCACTCTAGTGCCACCCCTAACCCTCTTGCTTCTGTGGTCACACCTACATCTGCCTCTCCTTCTCTGTCACCCTCTTCCACTTTCAAGGACCCTGTGATTATATCCTGTCCACCTGGGATGTCCAGGCCAACCTTGCTATCTTAAGGTCACCTGGGGGTCACCTTAATTCCCTTTTCAAACTTACTTTCCATTTGCCATGAGACCTAGCACATTCCCAGGGTCCAGGGATGAGGTCGTGGACATCTTTGGGGACCATTGTTCAGTAAGGCTTTGCAGTGTCCTTTGTCAGTGAGCCTTGCCAACCACTGAGACAGTTTCTTATTCATCCCATGGTTCAGTGGTTAGAACCTATGACCAGGTCATGGTATCTCCTTGGAGCAGAGATATGGTCAAATAATACTGTGACCACTGCTGCTGCACACACACCAGCCTCTGGGCACAGTTCTGAGCCCCTCCTAGGCATCTTCACAGGAGAGTGCAGACTGTCCATGTTGGTCAGGGCTAGGACCCAGTCCTCTGGACTCCAGATTCGTAACTACTAGGATGAGGAAACTGTAGAGGCCCTGCCCTGTAGACACCAAAGACCAGAGGCCATGTCTCAGCACCTTCCTGGCCCCCTGTCCCCCATCAGTGCTTCCTATGGAGGGAATGGCCTGTTATGTCATCTTGGTAGCCTTGGCCCCTTCTGAATCCTGACCACTTGAAGGTAAGCCCCCGACTGAGGGTTATGAGGAGCTAGAGACAACAGCTTTGTGTGCCCAGCTGAGGCCAGCAACACCAGCCAGCTACATCTGAAGCAAGGCCACCTCCCTGCGGGGGCCAGGATATTCTCTAGAGCAGAGACAGAGGTGGCCCACATGTAGTCCTATCCCTCAAGGGCCCTGGAGTCATCTGAGAAGGGGACAGAGCGACTCACCAAGCCAAGGTGACTGCTCATATGTGTCACTGTCATGATGGTCTGTGGCATCTGTAGGTGGGACTCCCCACCCACCTGGTCTGTTGGCTTTTCCTACATAGCAGAGGGATGGCAGGATCAGAAGCCGGGACTGGGGTTTGGGGGGTTGCTCCACCAGAGTCCCTTGATTAGCTGAGGACTCTGGTGTCCTTGGTCCAAGGAGCAGTAGCCAGGCCCCAGTTGGCAAGATGAGGAGGGAGCAGGACAGGGGAACCTAACCGCCAAGTTCCGCACATTTCACAAGTTTGTTACAAACCCCAGAAGCGTTGTTTGGTTGCTTAAAAACGATTTAATTTTTGCAATCTCCTCAAGAGAGAGGGTGCCTAAATTAAACCTGACACTTGGGAAACAATGGCTCTGCGATAGAAGGACAGTTCTTCTCACAAGAGGGCAGCAAGCAGGCTTGGAGAGGCACCCATGCCAATGCTGTGGAGGACCTTTGTGCCCTCTTCTGAATCAGAGGAGCAGTTCTCCCACCATGGGCTGGCGCGGTCACCTTCTGGGTTCACCTGGAAATTTAAGCAGCCAGAGGGAAGAGAAGACCTTCCGTTGCAGGGGCCTCCGGCAGCCGGCACTCAACTACAGTTCAGCTGTGGCTCCTGCCTGGTGCCTCTGACAGTTAACTCCTGCAGTTGGGCCTTGGCTACCCCCACTGCAAAGGAGGACACTGCACTGACCCTGTGTGTTGATGGGAAGCTGAGGCAGGATGGTCGTGCTGCAAGGTAACCAGCTGACAGAGGCGCACGCAAAACCTCGAGAACAGTAGCTGCTCTCACGCAAAAACTGAGAACAGAATGCTGCTCGTTCCACGAAGCCCCACACAAACTACGCCATCCAGACGTCCTCTCTTGTCCAGCAGGAGCCCTGCCAGCAGGGCCTCTGCACCATTAAAGCTGCTCAGGTGGATGGCACGGCCACTGCATACCTCCCTGAGTCTTGCATGCTCTTCGCACAGCAGGCAAAGCAGTGCCCAGCATGGTGTCACAGTTCATTCCTACAGCCAGAGGCCAGTAGGGGCCCAGAGGAGAGCTGTCCACTCCCGTGGGGAGAGGCCAGAGCGTGTCCAGCTCAGCCTCGGGCTCTGGTGGCTGCAAGGCACTGTGGGAGCTTGTGTCTAAGGTGCTCCTACTTAGCTTAAGTGAAATCAATGCTCAGGGGACGTTCCTAGGCAAGCACCAGCCACTGTGCCCATGGGTTCCCCCTAATGTATTTCAGTTCCTCCATCCAGCCAGCCGGTGGGCTTTGAGCCGCGGCACTCAATTCACCTATTTTCTGCACACAGGCCAAATACACAGGCAGGCTTGGTGTTCTCACAGGACAGTCTGCCTGGTGCCAAGGAAGTCCACAGGAGTCACCATTGTGTGCTGAGCAGCCACTGTGGGTGGGTGGCCCAGCAGTGGCTGGCACACACAGGGGTGATGGAGGGGGCAGGGAAGCCAGTGAAGTCGGTGTCATGTGGAACCCAGGCATTCTCACAGGAAAGGGTGCATGGCACTAACCTCTCTTGGTCATCTGAGCCCTGCTAGGCATTTCTCTGCCAGAAGCAGCGAGGTGCCGTCAGGATGGCCGAGTGGTCTAAGACGCTGCGTTCAGAAGCAGCGAGGTATGGCATCCACCCTGGTGGTGGACGAAGCTGGAAGAGGTCTCTGCTCCAGGCAGGAATGGCACGCACCCATGGGGCCCGGCCTGGCTGGCTACTCGCCATCTCAAATGCCCCAACACAATATGGTGACCCTAGCAAGAGAATCGGGTGGACAGTAGCAACAGCCACCACAGTGCTCGGTGTTGTTTTAAGGTGAGCGTGTTGACTCATCTCACCCACCTAACATGGAATAAGCGCCATTATCCTGCCCATTCTGCTGACGAGGGAGACGAGGCAGGTCAAATAACATGCCAAGGCTGCAAGCTACCGGGACTGGAACGCTTGGCTTCTGACCAGGGTCTGCGCTTGACCTTGGCACTAAGCTGAACAAATATGCCACCTCCTGCGGGTGAAGAAAGGACCCAGCCGCAGCCCCTCACCCGGGCAGAGGGAGGGGGGGAGGAAGGGAGGGAGGCACAGTGATCCCAGGAGGTGTCCGCCCGCAAGCCTCTCTCCTCTCTGAGAGGACCTGGCGAGGCCTTCCTACCACACCAGAAAGACCTACGAGAGTTGGGAGAACAGCCCCCCTCCCCAGTGCCAACCCAGCCGTGTTTTGCAAGCACCGATTACAGTGGGGTGGGGAGGTTGCCTTCGCGGTCATGGTTTCTAACTGCGAAGGAAAGAGGAAACCCGCGTCAGGAAGAGCACCTCTTGCCAACCACGCAGTGTGTGGGGACACCCCAGATCACAGACAGGGTCTTCGGCAGGCGTGGCGCGCTCCTGGCAGGGACAGGCTGACTCTGTGAAGCCGAGGGGCCTCAGGGCTGGGACAATCCCAAGGCCATCTGGGGAAAGGCCGGTGGGAGCAAGGAAGAGAGGACAGCACCACTGTGGGGGCTGGACCCTGTTTGAAGGGCAGCTGGCCACACGTGGTCCTCTGAGCAGTTCTGGGGAAGGGCTGGGGTTCTGCTCTGGGCTCTCAGGAGGTTCCCTCCAGCTATGGCCAGCGCTGCCACTGGTCACCCCTCCAGCAACCAACGCTTGCCCCCAGGTCCAACTGCCGGAGCCAGTGGCCCCTCCCCCAGAACCCATGGCCCAGTCCCTGGAGTTCCTGCCACCCCGTACCCACTTGATCAGCCTCTCACACCTTCTGTGTGTCTTCCCTGTGGTGGTGAGGCCTCTGGGGCAGGGCACACAGGGGAGGCCACAGGTCCTGCTGGACCCCAACCCCAGTCTGAGTTGACGCCAGGGGAGGGGGGATGTGCCTGGGGGTGCAGAAGGCAGAGCACATGGTCAACTCCAGCTCTGGAACACGCACACTGGGACCATGGGTTCGTCATCCTTCCTCAGAAAAATGATAGTCACACTCCCCCAGGGCGTGTGGTGGGTGTAGTGGGTATAGTGTGAGATATTTGTTCATCTACTCACTATTTGAGCATCCACTATATGTCAGGCCTTGGAAGTGAAAGAATTTAGAAATCAGAAGAGCAACAAATTGGCTGGAGAAAGGGGTGGGGTCTCATCTCAAGGAGCAGAGCTCCTGAGGATGGAGGGTGGACAGAGGAAAGGCCCAAAGGGGAGCTTTCCAGGGGCGTCTGCCCAGGCAGCAAGAAGTGCAGGCTCGGGGGCCTCTCGTGTCAGCAGATGCCAGGTCTCTTGCCTTGGAAGCCTCTGTCAGGTAGCTTGCAGTCACCCTGGAGATCACAGGCCGTCCCTCCTCAGGGCAGCCCCCAGGCCAGGTGAGGTAAGATCACAGTCAAGGAGGGAGGAGACCCAGCACACAGCTTAATTCCAGCCTGTCCCTCCGGCCCCACTCCTGGGGGCTGCATACCTGAGACAGGCCCTGGCTGCATGGCTGTTCTTGGGCTCCTGAGATAGCGCACAAGGCCGCTGGGCCGCCACCTGGAGAACGGGGCATGGAAGGCTTCCAGCCTTCCCAGGACCTCAGAGCTGGTGCCTTCTCAGCGCCACGAAGCTCCACACATCCCTGGCTCAGAGGCTGAGGGACAGCAGCATCAATCACTGGCCCAGTCTCCACCTCCTCTCCACATGGCAGCCAGGCACCCTCGGGCACCATGCAGGCAGTGCATCAGAAGAAGCCACCCTTCCTCAGAGGTGAGCCCACCTCTGGGACACACCTGCATTCCTGGTGTGCCTCTAGGACAGTGGGCAGAGAGAGAGAGCATCAGAGAGCTGAGGCACCTGCCCTGGGCTGGCCACCGCAGTGCTTGAGGCCAGCAGCTGGGCCCGACTCCTGATCACTGCCATAGCCCCTCACCCGTGAGGGAGAATGCGTCATGAGTACCTGTGCCTTGGCCTCCACTGGCTCCGTGGCTGGGCAGTGCCCAACCCTCTGGGTGCCTGTAATGGCTCATCTATAAAATAGGCTCAATAATACACGTGGGGATCAAAACGGAGCCCCAGGTGTGAAGGTGCTTGGAAAGTCTAAGGAGACCAGGACCAGGACCTGTGCGTCAAGACAGGTGACCCACACTGAGCAGAGCAGGGCAAAAGGCCAGAGGTGCGTCACCTGCTGACAACTGAAATTCCTGGACTTGGCTTTTTCTGTATCCTCTAGCTAGTCCAGGGTACAGCGTTCACCTGTGACCACTCAGTCTCTGACGGCATGTTCCCGTGGCTGTCCTTGACCTCAGGTCCACACCATGCTCCCAGCCAGGAGGCTAGCGTGGCCCTTGGGAAACGGCAGTGCCCAGCAGTCCTGTTAAACACCCCTGGTCTCTCCATGTAGAGTCTGAAAAATCAGCTGGAACCTCAAGCTACCTGGACCTTGTCCCACGGGCATTTTAAAGTAAATTGGACTCTAATCCACAGCATTAGCCCTGCGGCTCTCGAGCTTGGTGATGCTCACCTGACTTGGTGCAAAGCCCCTGTACACCTGGAGGTGCTCAGGCCTTGAAAGGGTGGTGACTGAGCAGGCTGGGGGGGGCCTGTGTGCCAGGCTCCCTCAGGTGAACCCACACTGCTGGCCCTGTGGGTAGGGCCTTAGGAAAATAACAGTCTTCTTGGTAGGAATCTAAGAGGAGTGGCACTCTGGTGGTGTTGGGGAGAATGAGGTCTTTGGAGCCAGGCAAATGTTGGTTAAGGTGGCTCCAAGAGGCCTGTGGACAGAGCACGACAGTCACCTCATTTTGTCCCCCTGCAGCCCTTCCTACTTAGACTGCAAGCTATTCAGTGTGATCCTGGTGAAGAGGGCTGCTGCAGATGACAACCACCACTCAAGCCCCCCCAGCAAGCCTTTGATGATGACTCAAATTCAGGCACTACCACTGGCCATCTCTGTGACTTTGGACAGCCACTTGGCATCTCTGAGCTACTGTTTCCTCATTTGTAAGATGGACATAATGGTTCCACTCTGGCAGGGCTCTGTGGGGGACTCAGGAGGGCTGAGCACAAGACGGGCATGTCACGGGCCCTCGGCATGTGCAGGCTTCTTTCTTTCCCTCCATGGCTGGTTCCCAGATGTCTGAGTGGCCTAATGGACTGTCCAGATGGGCTCTCAGATCTGGAAAGTCAAAGAAGAAGGTCATGTTGTGTGTGGGTTTGCTGTGGCTCTTGTTGCCCACGGGCAAGTGTGCTTCAAGAGGCCACATCTGCCCTGCACGTGGTCAGCCCAAGATGCCCAGCAGCTGTGGACTTGAAAGGAGCCGTCTGGGACTGAGCGACAGCAGTACTAGTCCCGTGGGTGAAAAAGCCGTCATGGCAAATGGACGAGCCCAGCCGTTTACTGATGTCCGCAGGCACAGCACCTTCCTGCAGCAGGATTTTTTTTTTTAATACTATAGTTTCTTTTCCCCAAGTTTTTCTTTTTTCCTTCCCTCTTTTTCACAGAAGTCCTGGATCCTGGACAGGATGCAGAGTGGTGTGGCGGGAAACGCTGTAGGCCTGGGCCTAGAACTTGAACCTCCAGAGTCTACCGTGGAGCTCACCGTGTGCCAGGAAACTACTAAATTCAGTAACAGCCAATATGATGAGCTTATTCACTCCAGCTTTTGTTCAAGAAGCAATGACCGAGGGAAACCTGAAAGAACCCTGGGAGGTGTCAAGATCATACATGACACAGTCCCAGTCCCTGCATTCCAATGACTTGTCCCAAATAGGAAGCAAAGCCGGCTGAGCTAGATACAGAAATTTGCACAATCACCAGCTGTGAGGTGAGGTGGTGGACAGTAGTCCTCCACACCCCACCTGTGCTTCCCTGTGGGGGACCCACCTGCCCCAGAGAACCCAGGCACCTGCTTCTGCCTCCTGCATCCTTGGCTGAGTCTGCTTCAGCCCAGTGTCCAGCTCTCTATAGCCCTGGAGCATGAAATCTTGGAGACTCCTCTTTGCCACCTGTCTCTTACAACTTCCCATGGATTAGGAAGAAGGAGAATGAGCCATTGAAACACAGATGAGTTCAAGACACAAGAGAGCATGTTCTCTTCTAGGCAAGAAATGTTTGGGATTTGGCAGAGTCTGAAGTTCATGTTGTTGGATGTGACCATACACCAGCTGCCTCTGCCCTTCCCTAAGGAAGCAAGCATGCCCAGGGCTCTCCAGGAAAAGAAGGCAGTCTCCTGGACAGCATGCGGCTTCTCCTGGCCCATCCTATCAGCACGCAGCTCAGCACCCACCATATTGGTACTCAGTTCAGTAGCACAATCCAAACACTTTGCAACCCTCTTACTGTAGTTTCCCTAACAACAGATTCCATATCCATGCAGTAGAGTACCATCAATTAAGCAGGTTTTCTAGCAGAGTATGCAAGAGAGTCTTCACCATGCAGCAGGACAGTCTCCTGTCCTGGGCTTTCAGAATCCTCTGCCTCTAGGGGCTGGCCACTGGATGCAGAGGTACAAGCAGCGTACCCTGCAGACCCTCCCTTTCCCCTCACCAGTGGAGAGTCCTCAGCACTCTGGTTCTGCTGCTCTCTGCATGCAGGTACTTGGCTGTACCTGGAGAACGCAAGCCAAAAAGACTCTTTCCCCATCTCCTGTGATTGCAGGCACATCCTCACCCTCCAGCCAGCGTAGAACCAGCTGAGAAACACCACTAAGACTTCCCTTCATGCCAACAAGGGGCTACAGCTGGACGGGCAACTCCTGGGTATGATTCCATTGTCAAATGGGATGCCAGGATTCTAGCAAAAGTTGGTCAGGCCCAGAAGACCCTGCCAAGGCCTCTTACAAAGGAGTCTATCTCTAGGCCCAAGGCCATCTCTGGAGGTCTGAAAGAGAATGAGAAAAGTAAGCTTCAGGTTCTCAGTTCACGGACCATGTTGTGTGGTCTGAAAGCCTCTGGATCAGGGAGAAGGCCCCAGGCCAAAATTCCAGTGGAGGCTGCGGGCCCAGATGGATGGCTTTCATTATGGAGAAAATGCATATGAAGTTTAGCGGGGCTTGCTCTTGTTTTAAGAATATTAACAAGGCTTCGTACAGTTGTCCTGACCCTTTAGGAGAATAACTTAGTTAGCACAGCTCTTGGCACTCAGAAAGGAACTCAGTCAATTTTACTCCCTGTGCAGCAATGGGGCCAGAGCTGCCACCTGGGGCCTGATTCCTGAGGGCTGGTGCATTTTGCAAAGAATTCTTCCCCTCCTGCCACTAGGCCTCCTGAGAGTGCTGGCAGTGCCCCCTCCACTTGTAACTAAGTCAATCTCTCCCTTATCACCTATAGTCAACAGGAGAAACCAACTGGGGTGGCTGAGGCAAAGCTGAGTGCTCTTCTCTTGTGTGCTTCTGTGCAGTGCAGGCCAAGCCAAGCACACCGTGGGTGTCACTGTGTGTGTCTCCCTGTGCTGTGCAGGGCTGCACAAACCTCCTCCCATCAGGCAACACCACAGGCCCAGCACCCCGCCCTGCTGCAGTGCCTCCCTCCAGGGGCTCAGAGGCTTCGTCTTCTTTTACAGGGGTATTGCAGGGAGAGGGGCAGAGGGATGAGAGGCCTGCCTTAAGACCACATAGCAAGTGTGAGCTGGGCTGCGTGGGGCTCAGGTGGCTGACCCCGCTCCCCGCCTCCACTACACAGGCTTCAAACAAGTGCTGGGGGCAGAGCCTGTCCCCCAGGTCACAGTGGTGATCACACTTGATAGCAAGACAAATGCAGACAAAAGTCAAAAGCCATCCAAAGAAAGGCATGTGCAGACCTGGCCCACCCCTTGAGAGCAGAGCACAGGACAAGGGCCATAGGGAGGGCCGTGACAGCTCTGAGGTACACGCGCTGCTGCCACTGCAGAGCCCCAGAGAGACCCATCCTCTCCCGCGCCCCTTCCTTGGTATTCATGGAGGGAAGCAACAGTAATGGTGGAAAAAAGCCAATAGGGAAGTTCCCCTCCTACTGACCTTGCTAAAGACGGCCACACCCACTAACCGTTAAGGACTGATTCAACAGCATTACAGGATGAAAAGCAACAGTTTAGTACTTTTAACTACATTTCAGTTGTATTAACAGGGTTTTAAAAAAAGAAAATGCATTTCTATTTACACACTTGCCGTTGAAGTAATGAGTAGACAAGGCCTTTGCTCCCAACACTTTGCTTTTCAACTTGCCCATGATCTTGTCTTCCTGTTGGAGGTATTACAGCCAGATGTGTCCCTTCACCTTGGCTCCTGGCTGATCAAAGCATGCTGTTAGTTTCATTTTTACTTTGAAAAGTGTCTTTTACACAGTCATAGATAAAGAGTCATGAACATCTTAAGAGAATACGCATAGCAAAGGTTCATAAAAATCTGATTTCACAATAAATTCTAGAAAATGCGACACTGCTCATATCTTTGTCTTTTCAGATTGAGCCTGTTGTCTTTCAAATGTCTCCATTGCAGAAAAAAATCATAAACACAAAAATACTCCACATGGTCACAGATTGGCAGATCTAAAGGAGCCTGGTTTTCATATAAAGACACAGAGAGGAATAACACGACAAAACATACGAAAATAAACCAAACTCAGAGCTTCAAGAAACAGGTGAGCAGGAGAAGCTAAGCTGGGCACGGAAACGTACCTCTGTCTCCACACACTAATGTAGTTGCTGTAGTTGAGCAGGAAATTCACGTTTCCTGGATGCCTAAGGGATAAAAAAGCTGTGGCCTTCTTGGCATTCGGAATGGCAGGAGGGCAGCACCTTGGAGAGCCTGGAGAATGACCCTCCAGAGCCCAGGCACAGACTTCTCCTTGGAGGCACCAAGTCCACAGAGGGAGGTCAAGAACCTGATTCAAGCACTCTGATTCTGTTGTTCATCACATACGGTTTCAGACCAGGAAACTATGAACCTGGAAAGAGTCCCGTTAGCTAGGAAGCAATCAGCAGAAAGTAAGTGCCATGAAAGATTAATTTTATTAAGAAATTGGGCAATTCTTGCTTAGCACTGTTATGGTTTAGACGTGAGGTATCCCCCAAAAGCTCATGTGTGAGTGCAAAAAACTTAGAGGTGAGAGGATTGTGTTATGAAACGCTTAACCTAATCAGTGCATTAATCTCCTCATAGGGATTAACTGGGTGGTGACTGCAGGCTGGTAGGTATGGCTGGAGGAGGTGGTCATTCGGATATGCCTGTGGAGCTTATGTTCTGACCATGATGAGGGGCACTCTCTCTGCCCCTGCCCCCTGCTTTCCGGGTGTCATGTCCCCATCTGCTTTTCTCCGCCACACTCTTCTGCTATGATTTTGTGCCCCATCCCAGACCCTGAGCAATGGAGTTGGCCATCTATGAACTGAGACCTCTGAAACCATGAGCTCCCAAAATAAACTTTTCCTCCATTAATTGTTCTCTTCAGGTCTTTTGGTCACAGCAGTAAATGCTGATTGAACTAGCACGTCATAGTCTGAGGTTGGATTAGTACCATTATGATTTAGATGTGAGATATCTCCCTTGGCAATGCTTACTCCAGAGAACTAGGTCAAGAAGAACAATGACCACAGTCAAGAAGAGCCCTGGGCAGCAGGCTGGCTCAATGTTCCTTGGAAAACCATATTTGGGGACCCCTCCACAAGACAGTGGCTCCACCTGCCACTGTGGCCATGACTCTGGCAAGATCCTGGCTCCAGGGTATCACCCCTGATGATAATGGGCAACAGGCCTCTCTCTCTCAGATTCCTTTCCTGCCAACAATCCTGGATGATGTGGATAAGATGATCTTTAATCATCAAAAACTATCGAGGAGCTAAATCCCAAGAGGGAGAAGGATCCCAGCAGTGGCTCAGAAACTGAGAAGCTGAGCAGAGTTTCCAGGAGTTTTATTGGGTAAGACATAGGAAAAAAAAAGTACCAAATAATGGAATCCCTAGTTCAGTAAGGGAGAGGAGCTTGGTTCAAAACCTCAGACTTTCTGTTGCGACTCCCCAGAGCTCTGCTCCAGGAGGAGGTCAGCCTCCAAAATGATTGAACCATTTGAAGAGCTCAGTCCTTGACCAGACTAAGGTGATGTAAGATGAAGCAATACATTTCTAAACAACCCATGAGCCAAAGTAGAAATCACAATGGAAATTAGGAAATATTTTAATGAAAAGATAATAAAACTAAAATATATCAAAACTTAAGGGATGCAGCCAAAGCATGCTTAAGAGAAATTTATAGCCTTAACTGCGTCATTAGGAAAGAAGAAAGGATGAAGAAACAATGAACTAAGTTTCCATCTCAAGATTTTAATATGAGAACAGCAAATTAAACCCTAAGATAGTACAGGAATGGAAATAGTGAACAGCAGGAACTAATGAAGTAGAAAACAGTGGGAAAACACAGGAAACCAACAAGGCCAAAGATTATCTTTTTAAAAAGTCTAATAAAATTGATAAGTTCCTGGTCTGATTTTTTTTTTAAAAGGAAAAGCCACAGGGAATCAATATCAAGAGGTAAAAATGTATAAATATAGCCTATAGCTATTAACTAAGATAAGAGATTGTTCCAAATCAATTTATCATAAAATTTTAAAGCCTAGATGAGACAAATTCCTTGGAAAACATGACTTATTAAACCTGACTCATACAAACAAAAAAGAACATCTTATTTGGCTAAATCTCTTAAAGAATCAGAATCTCTTAAAGAATCAATATATTCATGTTTTCACAAAGAAAACTCCAGGCCAAATGGCTTTACCAGTGAATTCTTCCAAACAGTTAAGGATGAAGTAACATTAATCTTGCAAAAAGTCTTTCAGAGAATATAGAAATGACTTTTCACACTTAACATCAAAACCTGACCAAAAAGAAAAGAAAAGAAAATTACTGGACATTTCTTTCTCCTGATCATGAATGTTCATCTTAAACAGAATATTATCAAACTGAATCCAGCAATACGTGAGAAGGACAAATGCATCATAACCAAGATGGGACTTATTCCAGGAATGCAGGATTATCTCAGTGTTCAAAAATCAAACAGTGTAACTTACCACAGGAACAGAATCAGTAAGAAGAATCAATATATTCAATTTATTCAGAAAAAGCATTTGAAAAATTCAAAGTCCAGTAACAAAATAAAGAAAAAACACTTTTAGGAAACTAGGACTAGAAAGGAAATTGCTTAATATAGAAGTATCTACAAAAATGATTCCAGCAAGTGTTACACTAAGTCTTCAAATATTGATCACTTTTTCCCAATATTGGGAGTAAAAGAAGAATATTCCCTATCTCCACTTCTATTCAGTATTGTACTGGAGAGGATAGCCTTTGCAATAAAGCAAGAAAAAAATATAATTTAAGGAATGCCATGAATTACAGATTTCATCATTGCAATATGTAGAAAATACAAAATAATTGACATTAACACTATCAGAATTAGTGAGTAAATTAAGCAAAGTTGTTGGATCAAGAGTGTCAATATACAAAAGTCAATTGTATTAAAAGCAGAGTCCATAAAAATATCATTCATTAATAGAACTACAGTAACATTTGACCTTCTTTTCATCAAAGACACAAAAAGATAAAAAGGAATGGCATGGAGAAAAAGATGTTTCCAATCTTTATAACTAACAAATGATTCATATCCAGAAAACATGAAGAACTTCTGAAAATCATCAAGAAGAAGATATTTTTACTTCCCCATATTGATTCTTTGTTAATTTTCCTTTTTAAAAAATCAGGCCAGGAGCTTATCAATTGATATTTGGCTTTTTTGGTTTGGTTTACCATTGGGGGAAGAAAAAAAAAACAGCAGAAGACCTAAATAAACTAATAGATCTCTAAATACCAAAAAATTTGAAAAGGTGCTCAGTTTCATTAATTGTCAGAAAAAAACACAAACTAAAAGACATTTCTCAGAATGCAGAAAATTTTAAAAAGCAACCATATCAAGAATTGGTGAGGCTGTATAGACCCCTGAGAGTGAACTGGCAGAGCCTTTGGTAACATTATTTAGTGGTCTCACTGGGCTGAACGTCTGCACACTTCATAACGCAGCACTTCAGTTCTTTGGTATATACCGTGCAGAAACACTTACACAAAAAGACATATTTTAGAAAGTTCCAAGCAGCATCATTTGTAAAAGAACCAAATCAAAATCTACCCAAGCAACCAACAGTGGCAGGTGGGGTGGGGATATGTAAACAAATTGTGATACATTCATGCTACAGAGTTTTATAGCATGAAAAATGCAAAAATGACTTATATCCTTAATAACACTAGATCAACCTTAAAGACATAATACTGAATTTTTTTTAAAAAAAGCCTGACAAAAAGAACACCTACTGCATGATTGCATTTTTTGTAAAATTCACAAGCACACTGTCTGACCTCTGGTGACAAAAGTGGTCCCCACTGCAGTGGAGGAGGGCCTGGGAGAGAGCAAGGGCTTCCCTGGTGCAGGCAGCATCCCCCTGTCACCTCAGGTGCTGGTTACACAGGTGCATCCACATTTGTGATCATCCACTCAACCAAGGCACAGTTGTCTAAACCTACATCCCCTGGACGCTTATTTACCAGCTAGCTATGAGACGGTAGCAGGTTCCTCAACTGTCTTAGTCTGTCCTCATCTAAAAAGTGAGTGTAAGAGAAACTACTACAAAGGACTGTCTGGAGATATACATGAGTGATGCAGGTGACAAGCTTAACACGGGACACCCCTGAACAACAGTAGCTCCCTGTGGTCCCTGTCAGGACCTCAGCCACTTGGCTATTTACATATGGGACCCTCAGGCTTTGGCTCCTCTTAAGTACCCATCGGCAGCAAAGCTGGGATTTTTCCATTCCCAAACCGTGTTCCCAGGCCCTGGCCCACGCACCCCCCAAAGGCCCTGCACCTGCCTATGGAGGAGCATGAGTACTGACCAGGCTGCCTGTGGGTGGAGACTGAGCTCTGCCATCCAGAGGCGCTCAGGCCTCTGCACTCGTGTCCCAGGGCCAGGCCTTCAAAGGTCCTAGGACAAGGAAATGGAATCATTAGATCCAGAGGGGTTGAGAGCAGACCAGCGTAGGCACCAACCTCAGAGAAGGAAGAGCATCCGAGGCAGATCCAGCCTTGGGCTCACAAGGAATGCCTCCGCCACCGTGTCTGTCTCTGGTGGCAGCCAGAGCTGCAGACTCCTCTTTCTGCACCCCCACGGGGCTCTTCGGGCTCAGCTGCTTTTCCAGAAGCCCTGGAGGTGATGAATTCTGGGCTAAAACTCCTGTTTGTCTATCTGCGGTTTCAAGGCTTGTGTTGCTCTTACTCTTGCCCCCTGGACTCTGAGCTCCCTGGGAACCCGGCTGCCACATTGCTTCTTCCCTTTGAGAAGCAACATCTTCAAACATGGAACTTGGCTACATCTTTCCTGATTATAAAAATCTTCTACATTTTAACTAAACATACTGATTCCTGGGCTCAACCCAGCCCTACCAAATGGTCTCTAAAGATGGGGCCCAGGAATTTGTAGGTTTACTGCGTGATTCTTATAATCACTCACATCAGGAACCCTGCCCTGCCCCCAGCAGTCCCTGTAGATTCCTGGACTCAAGGGCACATTTCCTCCTCCATGGTCCTCCATGCCATGTGTGCAGGCTCAGCCCCTGGAGATGGAGGCCCCGAGGGCCTCGTCTAAGTCCTGATGTCAGCAAGTTCCAGAGCTGTCGCCAGGCAGGTAGTATTCCTCACCCCCAAAAGACTCAGGGAGAGGGTCCACCTGCTTCCACAGGTCTGACCATCCAACGGGGCCCTAGGAAGGGCCCAGCCTCCAGATGAGAAAGACTCCACGAGAGAATGAAGGAGTGAGAGAGGGAGTGAGTGACCTGTGAGGGGCGGTGCTACAGACAGGGGACAGTTCCATTAAGACTAATTAGGAACAACTGTCAGCTCTTTTTTAAAAAAGAATGAATCCCATAAGGTGTGAGGCTGAGATCGTGTGAAGTGCAGCCCAGTGCGGAGGCGGCGCCGAGCCAGGAGGACTCTTCTCGGCTGGCATCTGTGCTGACCCTCTGCTCCATCTGCTGGCTGCCTGGAAGGGCGTGCTGGCCATCTTCACTTGGTCTCGCCTTCTTTTGTCCCTCGCCACATTGTTGGATTGGGACTGCCAGGGAGCAGAATTTAGTGACAGCTTTCAGGTTTGACTTGCCAGTGAGCACGTTTGGCTGGGTGTGGCGTTTCAGTGGTGTAGCTGGCCCGTGGCCTTGAAGTTCTGGTGTTCAATGAGCTCTCTGCATTACCCAAATGGCCTCCGGCACCTGTCATCCCACAAACCAGGATGAGTGTGTGTGTGTGTGTGTGTGTGTGTGCATGCATGCACATGGAGAGCACCCACCTGCTGGATGCTTTGCCTCTGAAGTGACCTTAGATCATCTTCGTCATGTCTGCACACC